ATCATTATGGATACGGATGAGATCACAATGCGTAAAGGTGAGTGATGAGCATTATGGATAAGGATAAGTGATTATCATATTGGATAAGCATATGTGTTGATCATTAAAGGTTTATGATGACCATGTCCAAAAGTTACCAGTGCCGTCAGGTTTTTAGAACCAAAGTAACGGTAGCTGCCGATTCGTTGATTCTCTTTAGTGAAAAAAAGTTTTTCAAAATTAAAATAGTGACGCCGTGTAACTTCGACCATCGATCTGAGAGAAAGTCAAGTTATCGAAATTGTATAGAGGTCTTGTCTCAAGTGTTCACAACATTTCTTCTTTATAATCTACATAGAAGCTTTAGGCTCCACTCGCTCGTTGATACAGGTAAATTTCACTCGATGGCTTGAGCTGAATTTTTCCAGGCGTTCCGTAACTTTCATACTTCTTTTTGCTCGAGATATTCGCCCGGTCGAGCAAAAATATGAATTGTGGCGGAAAGTTTCGGCAAGACCAAAAGCAGTAGAAGTCCTTATCGACTCTGTCAGGCTATTCGATGGATTGGAGTTAGAGTTTTCTTCTAAAATATAAATTGTTACCCCATCACAGCCGCTGATCCGCGCGCATCCAGCATCGTTCAGGTAGAAAACTGAAACGACTTTTTACAATTAAAGACTTGGAAGACTTTAACAAAGTTGAAAGACTTGTTTTGGCATAGTTTATCAATAAATTATATCTATATACGCCGATAAGAAGCATATTGTATAATTTAATTACAATTCTATTCCTTATGTCTTATTTCAATCGGAAATGCACGAATCTTCACGTGGAAATAGAAACAAATCCACTCCAAGTCTTCGCATTCAATGAAAATTTTAACTTAAAATTATTTAAACTGGAAGCTTCGCCCCTATCCGGTCTCTCAGCGCTGAATTCTCGCCAAAGATCTGGCTCAAAGTTTCCGGATTCGGAATCATGGTTCTCTTCGGGGAATTTTCAAGTGTCTGATATCCAGCGGTGTTATCGTGACGTGCTGCTCGAGATGGTGGCCCCGAGTTTGAGGTGATTTACAGGGCCTTGTTTGTTCCGCTGCCTCTTTCCCAATTGCAAGGGCTGCGTCGATTTTTTTTAATTTGATCGCTCACACTGAGCTCTTCTAAAGTTTAGACCGCAGACGATTCTTTCTATACCTTCCGTGAAAATTATGGTTACTCAAATAAATTATGAATATTGTTATGAACATTTTTGACTATAACTCTAGTTCGAAATGAGTCCTTGATCAGTAACTGGGACTGGTCGCGACTTTTTTGTTTTAATTTATAGTCATGTGTTGAATTCACCGCATGTGACTATATTTAAATCCCATTTCGTTCATAAAATTATCAGACAATTTGAACTTTTGATTGAAATGGTGACAAAAATTTTTTTCAATGTTATAACCGTCTTGTATAAAAATTAAAGTTTAAGCTGCTTTGTGCAAGAGTTGTAAGCCAATCTGAGTAACTGCCTACATTTTCATTAAGAAAGATTCATTTCGAATCTTTCTTTGCCGTCAATTGCTGAGTTTTCTGCTCATATGACAAGCTAATGTATTTCTCACTTGCTTCCCTGGTATTGGCTGATGAATGGCACAGGCTGATTGGACATGCTCATGGATCGTCTTCCTTATATTCTTTCTTGCATTTGAGATCTGCGCTAATTAGAGCCTCAGCAGCTGAAAGTGATTACCCGTAAACATCGGCGCGCTCTGAAGCGACGTGCTGCCATTTTGCGCAAAATTCAGTGCTGCCATGAGTGGATTTGCTGATTCATTGGATTTTCACTCATGGATAACACTACGCAAATGTGAGGAAACTAAGCGACGAACGTATTGATCAGCATCAAAGTCAAAACCTGTCGATGAACGTAAGATTTGCGCTTTTTATGCCATTTAATTGCGTGACGAGAGAGTACAAAATCTTCTGCAAAGTTAACTCGTGAAGTATAAATACGAATAATTTGATAAAAAAAATATGCGAATGTCATTCTTATGTGATTTCATTAATTTTGTGCACACGAAAATGCGAAATAGGGACAATTGCGCCAAACGTTTAATCGCAATCTGTCCGCTTCAATAAAAGAAACAAATTAGTGCATGGGTGAGACATTCGATTTCCTTCCTTACATGCATCTAATTCTTATCCTGCTAGCTATTTACTATCTATATAGTTCCTTAAACATAGTCGTAGTCTTACTTTGGTAAAATTTTTATTCTTAAAATGACAATTCCTTCCTCTAATAATTCTAGGATGAACAAGCGGCAAGAAAAGCCATCACAGTAGCCAATTTCTAATTACATCACGAAGGAATGACATCAAAGACTGCAACAACCTTCTGTTCTCTCTAAAAAGAAACGCTACTCCTAGCTTCGATATTGTACGGACTGATACATTCGATTATTGTCGATTCCCACTGTAAATGATAACGTTGAATTAACGTTGTCATTATCGGATGGTCGTCATTGTACGTTGCAGCATTACTGAGACACACTACAGACAATTTGTTGACTTCACTTACGTTTCTTTTTTGAATTGAAAAACTCCTGTCTGTCTTCTATAGAATATGAACATTAATGATGGCTAAGTAATAAAACTGTTTGATATCAGGAAAAAAATTCTGTTCAGGACTACGTAGAAATAAGTATGATGCCCACCGTCTTCTCCCAATTAATGTCCCTGCAACAGAAGAATGAACCTTGCCGGATGATCATTTTTGGCACTTCTTCGCTCTAGGCTGACAAAAGTCTCCACATTAATGAAGCTTGTTTCTGGGTAACTTTTGCACCTGGCCGATGACAAGTCGGACAGAAAGCCTGTAGGAGAACTAATGTTCATTGGCAAAACATTGCCTGGTAAGAACAGAGCAACGCTGAAGAAAGAGAGGACGGAAGTCTGGGAAGGTGTTGGCTCGACATGATGAATGACGCGAGTGAAGCTCCTGACTCGACGGGTAATTGATTGAGCTTTTCGAGGAAGCGATGAGGTCGAGATCAGACTAGGCAACAAACACTGGCTACATTTTTGGACCATCAAATACAAAAGTTTCTGAAGCAACACAACGAACATCATCATGCACATCAGCTTCATTGAACTAATATTTCTACAAATTCGAATTCGTATAACAGGAATTTATTTGTACCCGAAGATTGTATCATTATTTTATTAAAAATTTTAGTGAAGCATACAGTGATATCGTTACAGAAGAACATATATATTGAGCTTTCATTAGGAAGGTTCAACGCAAGTCTTATGCTTACTTGAGCGAGTTTATGGAAAATTAGCGAGTTTGAGCTCTCCAGCAATTGATGTATTACATAGTCTTTTGATGAAAACTCGAGATATTGAATTCAAATTGTAGTACAATTATTAAAATTTTTATTGTAAAAACATTGCAATAATTTGCTGACATTGAATAAATGAAATTCAAATGGTTCAAAGTCTATAAAATGCAAGTCACATGCGTGGGCAGGTCATATTTCGAAATGTCTTGGCCAAAATCGATGTCCCATTCCGTTCTACTATAGATTGGAGATGTTTTAACTCAATTAAAAAATTCCAATGCTCTCTGCAATATTATGTGACGTGTCTAGATTTTTGAAGTTAACTCGGACAACTAGCTGCTGGCATGAATGGGGCAGGGGCAGAGATTTACCCTCAACCTCTTACCTTCATTTAAAAAAAAAACATTAATCGTTCTCGTGCTAATTTAGATCGACTCCCGACCACGATCTCTCACAAGTTCCATCCAACGTATGGCGAACGAGCCAACCAAGACTCAGGCTAGCCTTTCTGACATTCATAATAGTCTGATCCGACGTCAACTTATCATCCAGTAATATCCAACTGCTCGGAGTGCCAACGGAGGATAATTGACAATATATAATATAACCTCTGAGGTATTGTAGAAATTAATTTAATTGTACCATTATCAGTGACGCGTAGATATTAGCACGCAAAGATAGATGATGACTACCAAACAATGTTCGTAGTAGCGATGTTTTAATATAATCGCCTTTCATAATATTTTCATGAAGAATATCAGAAAGAACTCCTTGAAAATGTATTTTTTTTTTGTTTTTTAAATGAAATGGTTTTTTATGCTTAAATATTTTTGTTAAGTATATGCTTTCAGTAGAATGTTTCTCGTTGACATAAATTTCGTTGTAACCTTAATTTCTTTTGTCTTATGAACTCGGAAATCGGTGGCAATTATAACCCGTGACAATGCTTGTAGGTATTCAAGAGTAAACCAATGACGGCTACGATTTAAACTGAAAATATCCTTTTATTAGATTTCTGTTCATGCACAAATGAGAGCCTGACCTCAGTACAGTCTATATAGAGGAAGCACGAATTACGAGTAACCACGGAACACATTATGAGAGAGATTCACTGCGTTTTTTTTTAGATAATCTATTACGTCTAATCACTTAATGATTACCTTACTTAGCGACTTCGGAAATTTGACAGGATGTCTCCATGTCTATATGATTGCCTCTTGATAATATTTACTTACGAATACAAGGATAGTATCATATCTCAATCACAAATAATGCTTTACATTGTTTTCTACTTAGAGGTTAATCTAATAGCTAAGGCTTTTGTCATAAAGCATTTGTAGAAAATCAATATCTAGCCGAGACATGCAAAAAGTAACGACTGCTGTTTAATCGCAGTTACCGGCGAATGCCTTTAAAATTTCACATCACATGCCGGCAGCGCATAGCGCAAAAAAGTAAATTGAAGCAACAGCTGTAAAACTTTCAAGCAGATGGTTGACAATGATTCTACATTAGAATAAGTATAAGTCGAGGATACATGCAGGATAAAGGGTTATCTCAGTGATGTGATCGCATTAGGTATTTTGACCCGCTCATAGTCATAATTGAAAGCAAAGGTTCATCATATTTCACGCAGGCTCACTGATTTGTAGAAAAGCTCTCCAGCAGTTGAAATAATTATTTGAAACCATATTCTCCTTCACACTGGTGTGCATTTTACGTACAGTGAAGGATCCATCAAACCATTAGACATTTCAAACGGCGCGTTAGACTCGATGAAATCTACCACTCTTGGAGGAGGAGAATGCAACGGTTGAGCAATAATTTTATACCCACTACAACACTGCGACAAATCAGCGAAGTTCTCATCTCGTTTAACTATAAGACATATTTCTGGGTGATCTTTTGACTCGGCAGTTGGCTTAGCTAGTTTTTCCTCCTTTTTGTTATAGAAAACTTTAGATTTGGCTGACTTGGATCGATGTCGGCATGGCATGAGTATGAGCCACAACTCGTTGAATTCTTTCCTAAAGTTGTCGTTGAGCCATCCGTAAAGCACAGGATTGGAGCAGGCAGATGACATGCCTAACAAATGACAAATGGCGTACACCATCAACATGGCGTCCGTGTCATCGCCGAATGGGTTCGAGAAATCAGCAATTATGTTGTACAGATTCAACGGTAACCAAGATAAACAAAAGATAATCGCTATAGAAATCAAAAGAATATTGGTTTTCCTGTTACGAGTTTCGTCTTTTCGTGTCTTATTACCGTTTCGGACAACAGTTTTGGCCATACGGAATTTAAGTTTATGAACAATCCTGGCATACGAGATGGTGACGGTGAGAAGAGGCACGAAGAACTGCACGAGCATCACGAAGACGCTGTAGTATCCTCGTCCGTGGTCTACAGGCCATTCTTCGAAGCAGAAGTTGACGGCGTCGAGACCTGGCAAGCCAATGTCGTGGTGTTGCAGCGTCCTGAAGAGGAACTGTGGCATCGCCAGCAACAGCGCGCACGCCCAAATGCCCGGTAAGGTGAGCAGCGCCCCCGAGGTGCCCAGCGCGCGACGTGTCGGGTGAAGAATCACCTGGGGTAAGAGAAATATATTAATTAATGTGGATTCTATGTTACAGAAAATAGTGTCGTGCATTTCAAACTGCAGTATAGAATAATTTTAACTTCGTGTTTGCAATATCTATCCTTTTTGGATTAACTAGAAGATCGCTTTTATTTTGCAGGATAATTTTCTTTCCGAAATCATAATTTTTTTGTTTCTCATCTTCACTTGAGTTAATATTTTATCCTACACTGCGATTCAAAGAACGACATACGAGTCCCGTAATAATAATGCCCGTTAAGAGCGTTTTTCAAGTAACTTAAATTACTTAACCACTTGGAAATTTGTTTCGCTTTCTAGCAAAAATCTTCAAAAATATTCAAAGCATCATTAAATATTTTGCTGTAAAATTTTTGGCTGAAACGTATCATTTGGTTTCCTCCATAGTTTCATCGCCGTCGGGACAGGAATGTCAGTGTCTCATTCATTGACTTTACGGCCTGGCGCCCCGCGTGCTGAGAAATTCCCCCGCGTCTTTCATGAACTCTAAAGCGGCCTGAATGCATTACGCTAAACCGCAAGCTTGTCACCGCTCTGCTTTCTGTACTTCCTGGAAGAAGCTGTATAAAATGCATGAATTAAAGCGTTTATTTTGGTACACATCGCCATCAAGACAAGATGAATTTATGACCATTTTTCAAATATTTTAGATCAGTGTTATACCGGTTTCGTTAGATATATTAAAAAACAGAACATCGTCCATCACTTGTACGCGTATTACAATTCATTTTAATATATGATAACTGGACAGTTACATATTTTCCAAGTAGAATTTTGTATGGACATTTGTAAAGCTTCTTAGCCTCTTGATCCGCTGATTAACATCTCTGCTTGCAAATTTTTCCAGCGATAATGAATAAAGAATTGGTAATTCCAGAGCATGTGAAACTACATGCCTCTTGAGACACCTTAATTATATTAGCTGTAAGTTTTAGTCGCTCCAAAAATTTACATAGGTATAACTCTATCTCGCAAACGATTTTAAAGAAATTTGGCACTAAATTTCAAGTTAGGATGAATCATGACCAGAAAAAATATGCATTAGAAAAAATATGCAGTTTAACTTGAACTTTTCAAACTGAAATATGAATTCAAATAGCGCTTGCGTTTAAAATACTGTTACAAAGGGATCGAACCAAAATTGTATAATAAAATAATCTAATTGGTAATCATCTAGAAACCTTTGTTCTTTATTGAACTTTGAAACCGATCTACACTTGTTTTTCAAAATCGGTACTGGAGTAGTGAGCGAATCCGTAAATCATGATACAGGAGCTTCGGACGAATAACATCAATTAAATGAACTGTTCCCAGTGGGTGTTGCAACTACAGTGAGTGAGTTGCATCAGAGTTTGAAATGAATTCATTTAACTACCTAGTGAAGTGCTACAACTCATTATATAAGCCGCTTTTAGTGCATGCAAAATGTGTTGCAGCAGAAAGTAAGAACACGCGACACATTTTCTTCTTGCAGCTGAATAGTGAGAAGTCTTATGAAGAAGTAGACCTCGGAAAACTTGTTCTTTGGCACAGACACATTGCTGTGACATTAGTGTTTATTTACGTTGTGACACAACAATGTGAAAGGTCATGAGTTTATATGTACCATGTTTTTGGATGTCGTCTATATTCGATTCGTAAGCAAAAATGTCGGCCATGATTCAACTTGCCAATTGTAAATGAATCAGGGAAATGCGATCTACTTTTAGAGGGTTATAAAATAGTGATCGATATATATACAGGACGTACAGGTAGTTATTTCGTGCCGCTCTTAGCAAGCATTAATCATTTAACGGTGTTTGAGTAGCCGCGCTCGAGAGCTAAGGATAAAGTCGATGCACTTCTAAGGCAGCGACGTGATAGGCTGTGAGCGTTTAGGCTCGGTCACGCGGTCTCTGAAGTGCTCCGTAAACTTATCAACACCTCCTCAGTCTCTATTGCTCGATATGAGTGTCGCTGGGTCCTTGTGATGACACCATAACAACTTGTTGGTCACGTAGCCAATCGGTTGGTCACTCTGCCAACTTGTTGGTCACGCTGCCGACTCGTTGGTCACGTTGCCAACTTGTTGGTCACGCTGCCGACTCATTGGTCACGTTGCCAACTTGTTGGTCACGTTGCCAACTTGTTGGTCACGTAGCTAATCGGTTGGTCACTCTGCCAACTTGTTGGTCACGCTGCCGACTCGTTGGTCACGTTGCCAACTTGTTGGTCACGCTGCCGACTCGTTGGTCACGTTGCCAACTTGTTGGTCACGTTGCCAACTTGTTGGTCACGTTGC